CAGAAGAGGCCAAAAACAACAACATGGAAGAATAACTCTGCTGGCCCATACCTCCTTTGGAGTGATTCCCAAATGACCAAGCAGCATGTTTACTCCACTGCCTTTCGAGGTTCCGGGGGGAACAATTTCAAGCATATCAGGCACAGTTTGAACAACTCTGGCAGAGTCTCCAGTTGCTTCTGACCAGTATGGCCTCAAAGCAGTAGTCACTCCCTCAGGAGTGTCCATGAAGACTAGTTTCTGTATATTTGATAAGGTGTGCGTCATTGCATGAACCAAAAGCAGCAAGAACTACAAGATATTAGTTCGATCATGTTTTAAAATGAATTGGAGAGGCTAAACAATGACCTTCTGATGAAAAGCTCAATGTCACACAAGAATAACTGTTGTAAGAATCAAGAGAAATTCAGAGCAAAGTCCTAAAGTTACAACTAATGAGCAAAACTGAGTGCAAAGTAACATGCATAATTTCATAATGCATAAGACTTGAAATGGATTTGAATGAAAATAAAAAACAAACCAAAAGTCAGACAAAGTAGCTTCACAATGGACGCAACTAGTACATAGGTATCTTATAAAAAGTTCACAGGCGCTTTTTTATTTATTTTTAGAGGGGGATGGGGTTGGGGGAGGGTATTCTACCTCCTTGAGGACCATACCTGTATTCCAGCAGCAGCCACGAGATGCTCAACTGAAGGCATGATCTCTGCCTGTAAATACCCTCCATGTAAATCGTATATAAAACAAGAGAAAAAGAAATCTCAGGCAATAACAGAATATTTATGATCATGATGAAAACTAATCTTTTGGCACCTTTTGCTCATGATATACAGTATGCATAGAATCAACAAGTGGGTGATCAAATAGCGTTAAACAACGATCCTCGGTAAATGCAATAAGAGGAACCTCAGTCTCCAAAGAGTAAAGACATGCCTGCACATAAAAACCATAAGGTCTTTTATTTTATTACAAACCAATGAGCAATAAATTATTGCATGCCTCACCAAGGTATTACCTCTCTGCATACATTTGCATCCAAATTCCTTCTAAAAATTTCCCGACCTTGCCTACCATAAACAAGCAATCCCTGGAATCAAGAAGAGGCAGACAATAAGGACAATACATACTGCTATCAATCCGAGACAGAAACCAAAAAAGTTCTAAGGGAGAAATATTATATGCAACAACCAATGAGCATTTTGTTTCTTAAAATCTTGACCAAGCATTATAGATGAGTCATCGGTTAAATACTTGGGAACCATGTAACTTTAGTGACAGACAAAATACATGTAAATGTTTAAGAGAGAACACGAACGGATACCACACTTCCCTCTAGTGTCATTATCAATCTTACAACAGAAAGTACTACATGTAGATCATGGGTAGATACAAGTGAGAACTTTATTCCACGGTATATAACTAGAGCAAACTTGAAAATATTAAGATAACAGCTCTCCGGACAAAAGAGTAAGTATGCATCTAACAAGTGAAGGCAGTTTGATGTTCATCACATTTAACTTAGCAACAACCTTAAGATAAAATTTTCAAAGGAGAAAAGATAGAACCTGCAAGAAAACCCCAGGAGAAAATTCTGAAACAATGCCATCTTTTCCGGCTAAATCAACTTCCTTAAAAATGCGCATCACAGCTGGACGAGCCTGTTCCAAAGAGCTGTCAACAATTAGAAGATTTTTTAATCAACTCTATTCAACAATAAAAAAGAAAATCATGTATGAAGTAATATTGAGCAACAATAGAAAACAAGAATAACACAAAGTTACTAACATACCAATCAAAATAAGTAAACTTTATACTGGCCAAGAAGTATGAAATCACATTTCCGAGTATAGTATCTCTTGATAATGAATAGCAACAAAGGTTCTTACTTTTCCGGTTGCTATCACTACTTTCACACCCCTTGATGAGGCCTCTTTCAGAGCCTTCACATTTGTTGAACTCAGTTGACTTTTGCTGTTGAGAAGGGTGCCTTGTATATCAAGAAAAATAAATATAAATAACAATTGGTACAAGTTAAATAAAATACAATAAATGCATGGGACAATGTAAGCTCAAACTTACCATCCATATCACAGAAAACATATCTGAACTTTGGCTTATTATATTGAAGGCTGCCTTCTCTCTTACTGTCTTTTAACAACTCAGATGTAAGATTATCTGACCACAAAGTTTAACCAAGAAAATTGCATCGACAGAATTCAATGGAGAGATTATACAATTAACAAATTAAAGTAAGGATGCAAAAGTGAAGCTGGAAAAATATAAAATTACCATCTAGTTTGTCCCCCTGGGTATGGGTTTCAGCAT